CAACGTTTCCACAGCAGCAGCGTTTCCTAGCGTGTAGTGATAACAGTAGTTTTCGGTTCTGTAGTTGCGCCTCACGGACGGTATCGCCAGATTGTGAAGCCAACGTTTCCACAGCAGCAGCGTTTCCTAGAGTGTACTGTAGTGATAACAGTAGTGGTCGGTTCTGTAGTTGTGCCTCACGGACGGTATCGCCAGATTGTGAAGCCAACGTTTCCACAGCAGCAGCGTTTCCTAGAGTGTACTGTAGTGATAACAGTAGTGGTCGGTTCTGTAGTTGCGCCTCACGGACGGTATCGCCAGATTGTGAAGCCAACGTTTCCACGGCAGCAGCGTTTCCTAGCGTGTAGTGATAACAGTAGTGGTCGGTTCTGTAGTTGTGCCTCACGGACGGTATCGCCAGATTGTGAAGCAAACGTTTCCACAGCAGCAGCGTTTCCTAGAGTGTACTGTAGTGATAACAGTAGTGGTCGGTTCTGTAGTTGTGCCTCACGGACGGTATCGCCAGATTGTGAAGCCAACGTTTCCACAGCAGCAGCGTTTCCTAGAGTGTACTGTAGTGATAACAGTAGTGGTCGGTTCTGTAGTTGTGCCTCACGGACGGTATCGCCAGATTGTGAAGCAAACGTTTCCACAGCAGCAGCGTTTCCTAGAGTGTACTGTAGTGATAACAGTAGTGGTCGGTTCTGTAGTTGTGCCTCACGGACGGTATCGCCAGATTGTGAAGCCAACGTTTCCACAGCAGCAGCGTTTCCTAGCGTGTAGTGATAACAGTAGTTTTCGGTTCTGTAGTTGCGCCTCACGGACGGTATCGCCAGATTGTGAAGTCAACGTTTCCACGGCAGCAGCGTTTCCTAGCGTGTAGTGATAACAGTAGTGGTCGGTTCTGTAGTTGTGCCTCACGGACGGTATCGCCAGATTGTGAAGCCAACGTTTCCACAGCAGCAGCGTTTCCTAGAGTGTACTGTAGTGATAACAGTAGTGGTCGGTTCTGTAGTTTTGCCTCACGGACGGTATCGCCAGATTGTGAAGCAAACGTTTCCACAGCAGCAGCGTTTCCTAGAGTGTACTGTAGTGATAACAGTAGTGGTCGGTTCTGTAGTTGTGCCTCACGGACGGTATCGCCAGATTGTGAAGCCAACGTTTCCACGGCAGCAGCGTTTCCTAGAGTGTACTGTAGTGATAACAGTAGTGGTCGGTTCTGTAGTTGCGCCTCACGGACGGTATCGCCAGATTGTGAAGCCAACGTTTCCACGGCAGCAGCGTTTCCTAGCGTGTAGTGATAACAGTAGTGGTCGGTTCTGTAGTTGTGCCTCACGGACGGTATCGCCAGATTGTGAAGCCAACGTTTCCACAGCAGCAGCGTTTCCTAGCGTGTAGTGATAACAGTAGTTTTCGGTTCTGTAGTTGCGCCTCACGGACGGTATCGCCAGATTGTGAAGTCAACGTTTCCACGGCAGCAGCGTTTCCTAGCGTGTAGTGATAACAGTAGTGGTCGGTTCTGTAGTTGTGCCTCACGGACGGTATCGCCAGATTGTGAAGCCAACGTTTCCACAGCAGCAGCGTTTCCTAGAGTGTACTGTAGTGATAACAGTAGTGGTCGGTTCTGTAGTTGTGCCTCACGGACGGTATCGCCAGATTGTGAAGCAAACGTTTCCACAGCAGCAGCGTTTCCTAGAGTGTACTGTAGTGATAACAGTAGTGGTCGGTTCTGTAGTTGTGCCTCACGGACGGTATCGCCAGATTGTGAAGCCAACGTTTCCACGGCAGCAGCGTTTCCTAGAGTGTACTGTAGTGATAACAGTAGTGGTCGGTTCTGTAGTTGCGCCTCACGGACGGTATCGCCAGATTGTGAAGCCAACGTTTCCACGGCAGCAGCGTTTCCTAGCGTGTAGTGATAACAGTAGTGGTCGGTTCTGTAGTTGCGCCTCACGGACGGTATCGCCAGATTGTGAAGCCAACGTTTCCACGGCAGCAGCGTTTCCTAGCGTGTAGTGATAACAGTAGTGGTCGGTTCTGTAGTTGTGCCTCACGGATGGTATCGCCAGATTGTGAAGCCAACGTTTCCACGGCAGCAGCGTTTCCTAGCGTGTAGTGATAACAGTAGTGGTCGGTTCTGTAGTTGTGCCTCACGGACGGTATCGCCAGATTGTGAAGCCAACGTTTCCACAGCAGCAGCGTTTCCTAGAGTGTACTGTAGTGATAACAGTAGTGGTCGGTTCTGTAGTTGTGCCTCACGGACGGTATCGCCAGATTGTGAAGCCAACGTTTCCACAGCAGCAGCGTTTCCTAGAGTGTACTGTAGTGATAACAGTAGTGGTCGGTTCTGTAGTTGCGCCTCACGGACGGTATCGCCAGATTGTGAAGCCAACGTTTCCACGGCAGCAGCGTTTCCTAGCGTGTAGTGATAACAGTAGTGGTCGGTTCTGTAGTTGTGCCTCACGGACGGTATCGCCAGATTGTGAAGCCAACGTTTCCACAGCAGCAGCGTTTCCTAGAGTGTACTGTAGTGATAACAGTAGTGGTCGGTTCTGTAGTTGTGCCTCACGGACGGTATCGCCAGATTGTGAAGCCAACGTTTCCACGGCAGCAGCGTTTCCTAGCGTGTAGTGATAACAGTAGTGGTCGGTTCTGTAGTTGTGCCTCACGGACGGTATCGCCAGATTGTGAAGCCAACGTTTCCACAGCAGCAGCGTTTCCTAGCGTGTAGTGATAACAGTAGTGTTCGGTTCTGTAGTTGTACCTCACGGACGGTATCGCCAGATTGTGAAGCAAACGTTTCCACGGCAGCAGCGTTTCCTAGCGTGTAGTGATAACAGTAGTGGTCGGTTCTGTAGTTGTGCCTCACGGACGGTATCGCCAGATTGTGAAGCCAACGTTTCCACGGCAGCAGCGTTTCCTAGCGTGTAGTGATAACAGTAGTGGTCGGTTCTGTAGTTGTGCCTCACGGACGGTATCGCCAGATTGTGAAGCCAACGTTTCCACAGCAGCAGCGTTTCCTAGCGTGTAGTGATAACAGTAGTGTTCGGTTCTGTAGTTGTACCTCACGGACGGTATCGCCAGATTGTGAAGCAAACGTTTTCACGGCAGCAGCGTTTCCTAGCGTGTAGTGATAACAGTAGTGTTCGGTTCTGTAGTTTTGTCTCACGGACGGTATCGCCAGATTGTGAAGCCAACGTTTCCACGGCAGCAGCGTTTCCTGGCGTGCGGCGAGCATTGGGTATCCAACTGGCTGGCTCTATTCCTGTCATTGACCAAACACTTTATAAATAGGTTCATATCCCACGATCGACGCTTGTCCCGACACCTTTCTTCCACTTGTCAAACGCAGTACAATACTTTAACCTTTAAAACAAACATTTCCTTGAGGGCAAAACCTGTCCTACGAAACAAATTCTTGTAGCGTTGGGTCATAAGCAATTACACGTTTGATTATTTTAGTTAGGTAATAATATTTATTTACCTTTTAGTTTAACGTTAATGGTTTTGTTAAGAACAATGATGCCATTATTACCACCTATTAATTTCGGTATTCTTTTGTGTTAGCCTAACAACTACTATTTGGGCTACTTTAAATCCATAAGATGTTTACTATTAAAGAACCAAATGAATATATTTGGATGGTCTGCCACAATCGCCTTTGGTGATTTGAGTTGGCAGTTTGAAAAGAAGATATTATGTTAACGGGTTTACTTTTAAATACTACCTAATTCAAAAGTAAAACATGGGTAGAAAATATAAATCGTTTTTAAGGTGCTTTCCTGTAAAAAAAATAAAACGCCAGGCCAATAATGATGCAACTTGCGGGGGCGGAGGGCGGAGGGTGGTTATCAGTGGAGCACAGAGCGTGTGATAATAAGAGCCTAAGCCGTCGCAGCTCGCAGCCCTTACTTAGTATGAGTGATGGGACGCGTCAAATTGACACCAATTACCCACCAGGACCCTCGCGATGAAAATGAGATACTTGCGAGGGAAAAAGGTAATAAGAGGGATGGAAATGATACTGTGAACCATTTTCTGGTAGCGGAACGAGGGGTAGGCTTAATATTTGCATGCATATTGAAAGAAGGGCATGCATCGGTTGTTGGTTATGAATAGCAATTGGAGGAGCCGGTAAACTATTTACTGGGTAAACCCCGAGTGAGAATCAGATCTAAACTGTTGTAACAAGCATAACAATGCAAACACGTCCTTAGCTAACTCTACTGTTATGTTATAAAACAATATTAATACAATGGTAATACCGTATGAGTTCGTGACCTCACGTCATTTAAACGTAACAAATATCGTAAAGAATGTTGCCCACGTTGATTAATAAAACAGGATATATTTCTTTAAACATTTGTAATAAATTTGTACACAATATTGTCATATATTACTCCCATATTTTACCCCTGTCACTTTTGCTGTCTGGTTTGTATAATTTATGAATGAGCGTGGACTCAGGTTATTCAGAGTCCAGGCTTGCCGCTAGTAAAATAGTAGGAAACGTGTCTTTTAAAATGTAAATTAAAGGTCATTTGATGGTGACTGCTGCCCACCTTTGCATGCGATGGGACCTACATCTATGTATTTGTAGTGATTGGTCGTATTCGAACACACGCGACGGACACTGGAAATGCCGTCATTAAATTGCACTTTATCAAAGATTCAGCAGTCTAATGGGCACTGCCATTAGACGAAATCGAATGTTTAAATGGACGGTTTATTTAATCAGAAGTTATAAAAGGGTCGTGAGTTCCAAGAACAAACTACTGTATAACAAAACAACCTGAGTAAATAATTTTGGTTTTTATAAAGGCGATATGTATGTTACAGCTTTTAAAAATGTCGAATTAGGTAGTCGAATTTTACTTTTAATTTGTACAAAATTAAAGTCAAGAAATCAATTTAAAAATCAAAACACCATTGCGTTATAAATTAAACTTTTAATTCGTCAAAAATCTAAAAATTAAACACTAAACTGCAACCAGATATAAGGAGTAGGTGGTGGTGTTGCTTACCACGTCTGGCGTACTCGCGCCGTCGGTGTGTGAGGTGGAGTCGGCGTTACTTCTGCCGTCGTTGCCGTTCGTCGAACCTCCTAGCTCGCCCATGGGCTTGGACGACTCTCTCTCGTCTATGACCAGGTCGATGGGCATCTTGCCTTTGAGGCAGCTGATGTACCGGTGGCAGAAGTTGTCACACAGTTCATGAACCTACACAAACAATAAACATACATGTAAATATGGTGGTGTATGTGTATCACCAGGTCGATGGGCATCTTGCCTTTGAGGCAGCTGATGTACCGGTGGCAGAAGTTGTCACACAGTTCATGAACCTACACAAACAATAAACATACATGTAAATATGGTAGTGTATGTATCACCAGGTCGATGGGCATCTTGCCTTTGAGGCAGCTGATGTACCGGTGGCAGAAGTTGTCACACAGTTCATGAACCTACACAAACAATAAACATACATGTAAATATGGTAGTGTATGTGTATCACCAGGTCGATGGGCATCTTTCCTTTGAGGCAGCTGATGTACCGGTGGCAGAAGTTGTCACACAGTTCATGAACCTACACAAACAATAAACATACATGTAAATATGGTAGTGTATGTATCACCAGGTCGATGGGCATCTTGCATTTGAGGCAGCTGATGTACCGGTGGCAGAAGTTGTCACACAGTTCATGAACCTACACAAACAATAAACATACATGTAAATATGGTAGTGTATGTGTATCACCAGGTCGATGGGCATCTTTCCTTTGAGGCAGCTGATGTACCGGTGGCAGAAGTTGTCACACAGTTCATGAACCTACACAAACAATAAACATACATGTAAATATGGTAGTGTATGTATCACCAGGTCGATGGGCATCTTGCCTTTGAGGCAGCTGATGTACCGGTGGCAGAAGTTGTCACACAGTTCATGAACCTACACAAACAATAAACATACATGTAAATATGGTAGTGTATGAACTGTGTGGCAGAAGTTGTCACAAAGTTCATGAACCTATACAAACAATAATCATACATGTAAATATGGTAGTGTATGAACTGCCATTTCAATTATGTAAATTTAACAACCGTATTTTGGAATCGATGTGATAAAGCTACTTTTAAGCTAGGCAGAGTAATATTTTGCAAGATTTACGTATATAGATAGCAAAAGTTTGTTTGCATGTGCATCAAAATTAAATAAAAGTGGCAAAGCGGGTAAAACGTGATGAGTGTAGCAAGAGAAGTGACGGAAGGGTGGAGGAAGGGCCGTGCTCTACCATACATTTCCCCCTGTAAGTGACATATATTGCTTCACAGACCCACGGAATTCTACCCCTCCCACTCCGGTCCGAAACATATTATAACTCCCCTCGCTCCCCTTCTTGAATACCAACATAGTAAAACATTTTGCTATCCGAAATTCCGGCCCAGGAAAACAATTTACCCTCGTTACACGAAGAGCATTCCGAGGGGTCGAAATGACGGGTATAAATAAATAGTGTCGCATTCCACAAAAATGATTGGACGAATAGTTGTGAGATGCGGCTGTGTGTGATTACCAAGGCAGGTTGTCGATGCAGAGGCTGATTACGACGATGATGACTGATGTGTGCAGGCTTATGCGGCTCTATTTGTAATCATCTAGCTGATTATCAGTGATGCTAACTGGGTCTGACGACTAGATTTGATATTTTAGGAGTTCCCAAATTAGGTTAGCAAGTTTAGCCCAAATCGTTTTTAGCGTGTAGATAAACGTGTCGAATTGCTGCATTATCTTATACTGTATCACACACAAGGCGGAGTTACTCAAAATACAAAACAAGAGCAATCAAGCATATCAGTTAACTATTTGTCTTACATAGTCGGGGGTCGTGTTGCCGGAACAGAGTTGTAAGGCCGAGCCATTTCTGACCGCAACCGAAATACTTCCAATTGTTTACTGTTCCGAGAACAAAATGCGAGGCGAACAAAAGAGGTTTGACAGAATCTATAAATCGCGTAGCCATTTTACCGGACCATTGTGGCGAGGACCGTTAGCCACCGGTCACTTCTTTACTATTATTAGGACTTTATTGTCTTGGAATGGTTGGTAGATCGAAGTAATATTAGTCATTAGACTTCACTTTTTCTCTTGATATATCTTTATATGATGCCACAGTTACATAATTCTCGTGAAGACCCATATTATGCATTTTTACCATGGAAAATCGTACTACAATATTCAAGCGAATTAGTATCCTCATTTGCTGCAATTGATTCTATTCATTTTAAGTAAGGAAATGCACAAACGATGTGTACGTGGTACAAATCAACGGGTGGCAATTAATAGGTGGTAACAGTAATGTGGGGTATTAGCACGAATGGTGTAGAAATATACACAGTTGGTATAGACAGGTACAACATACGTGTGGAGCTCTAGGTGATAACAGTAATGTGGGGTATCAGCACGAATGGTGTAGAAATATACACAGTTGGTATAGACAGGTACAACATACGTGTGGAGCTCTAGGTGATAACAGTAATGTGGGGTATCAGCACGAATGGTGTAGAAATATACACAGTTGGTATAGACAGGTACAACATACGTGTGGAGCGGGCGGCGGTAGGTGACAACAGTAATGTGGGGTATCTGCACCGATGGTATAGTAATGCACATACGAGGTACAACATACGTGTGGAGCGGGCGGCGGTAGGTGACAACAGTAATGTGGGGTATCTGCACCGATGGTATAGTACAGTAATGCACATACGAGGTACAACATACGTGTGGAGCGGGTGGCGGTAGGTGACAACAGTAATGTGGGGTATCTGCACCGATGGTATAGTACAGTAATGCACATACGAGGTACAACATACGTGTGGAGCGGGTGGCGGTAGGTGACAACAGTAATGTGGGGTATCTGCACCGATGGTATAGTACAGTAATGCACATACGAGGTACAACATACGTGTGGAGCGGGTGGCGGTAGGTGACAACAGTAATGTGGGGTATCTGCACCGATGGTATAGTACAGTAATGCACATACGAGGTACAACATACGTGTGGAGCGGGTGGCGGTAGGTGACAACAGTAATGTGGGGTATCTGCACCGATGGTATAGTACAGTAATGCACATACGAGGTACAACATACGTGTGGAGCGGGTGGCGGTAGGTGACAACAGTAATGTGGGGTATCTGCACCGATGGTATAGTACATTAATGCACATACGAGGTACAACATACGTGTGGAGCGGGTGGCGGTAGGTGACAACAGTAATGTGGGGTATCTGCACCGATGGTATAGTACAGTAATGCACATACGAGGTACAACATACGTGTGGAGCGGGTGGCGGTAGGTGACAACAGTAATGTGGGGTATCTGCACCGATGGTATAGTACAGTAATGCACATACGAGGTACAACATACGTGTGGAGCGGGCGGCGGTAGGTGACAACAGTAATGGACCCTTAATGCTGGAACCCTGTCCTGCTATTGGTCCAGAATTAATCAATTGATGGGAACTGCAGCTACAAGGTTTCTACATCACGACAAATTGACGGTCGGACCTCTACATTCTACAATCTACACACAGTCCAGCTCATTTTATGAGCCAACTCAGTCTCCATCTACATACATCGAAGCCGTTAATCTGTAAATCTTGGATTCACACCTCACGTGGACCGATTGAGAGCCCATTAACATTATCGGACTGAACTCACGCGGTAAATAGAACTACGAGAACTTGTCCTCGTGGGATCTAAGGTGTGGGTTTTATGTGAGTGTTTTTATCTTGAGTGTCAGAGGCAATCGCCGCATAGTTTGTAAAAAAGAACCATTGTCAATCACTACTTTCACCCTCATCTGTGAAACATACTAATTTTGTTTTCATAAGTAGACACCTTTAAAATTAGATCACTGTGCAACGAAAACACTTGTACTAGTTTGAAAACTGTAAAAACTGTACTCATTAATCTTTGTTGGGTTAATATTGAGTTGAAAATGAAAGTTAAACTAGCAATGCATTAAAAAGGTTACTTTTAGTGTTAGCTATTGTCAACTGTTGCAGCTGTACAGTTTTCTAGTGTTGGGAAAGCGATACTGTACTATGTTGACACATATTGTCAATGTTGAGATTAATTGACACGTGTTTGCACAGCAGGTAGCTATACCTACTGAACTCATTGGCACAGCTATCTCTCAAATATACCAACACGCCAGCGATAGAAGCGAAAATAAACAATTATAAATGTACTCTTCAAACAGGGTCTCAGGAACCACGTGGTAGTGAGACATGTACTGTGCAAAGGTATGTGCCTCTCAATACTGCAACATCATGAAGACACAGTGGCGCTTTGTGTCATTATTGTGTCTCTAGTACACTAGATGGATAACACTACGCATTTACCATCGGTGGTGGTCGTCAAATAAATGCTAAAGAACTAAATCTACCGTAAAACAATCTTGGCAAAATAAAGCGTGCAACTCCCAAGTGCTAGTAAGAGGCAGAAAAAGTCTAGTAATTGCACTTGCGGGGTTTACAAGCAAATAAACTAGCGAAACAATAAGTGCTATAAAACAATACGAGGAAAAAGAATACCACGCTTTCGCAACTCAAAATGGCGGCGCCTTCAGGGGTGCAAGAGATGAGGGGGACTCGTCTTAAACGCGCCGCCATATTTTCGATGCGTTATCTTTCCTTTCTATTCGACTCCTTCTCTCTCCCTCGTTAGATCCGAGAATCGAACCGGTTCTGGTCGAGGCCGCGGGCAGCGAGCGGCGAGTGGCATGAGCCGCTGACCGGCGACTCAAGACTCAGCACTCAGCAAATGGAACTTTACGGCTCACCGGTGTTGTATAGGTAACGGAAAGGGAACAAATGATTCGAAGTAGGTACCACTTCTGTGAAACGGTCTAAAGTCGGCCCGGAGTCTACCTGGCAGATGGAGGGCTGTGTTATGACATATTTTGAACGTCGCAGACTTCACAATGTTATCTCGATTGTGGCCGTCTCTCCAAATAGAACATTAAAAGCTAGCCCTACCCCGTACAAAAGTCCCACTGGTTGGTGAAGTTTTCGGAATTGACTTGGCTAGGTTAATGTATGAAAAAATGTCTGAATAACGCGTCAAAAATATCACGTTACAACTGGGAGAAACTGCAAAACTGTTAATAATACGAACATTTACTTAACGTAACTCTTGCCCTATTATGTAATTGACATTTACAAAAAACAGCAGTTACATACTGAGGTAAAAGATTAGGTAATGACTATGTATATATATATTGTAAACAATTTTTGGAAATCAAACAGATTTTGATTTGATTTGATTTGACTAAATGAAACAAATAAATTTAGATTGTTTACACTCTCAATGAAAAACACAATAAGTGAGGGTAAATGCGGGTAAAGTATGATAATTTGTATAAGAATTTATTTTACGTGAGGTGGATGCCAACACAGATGAGAGCCTAGCTAATAACTGGACCAAAAAAGGGCAAATCTCGGCAGAAATGTCTCCATTGTACCCCCAAATACATTCCTCTCGCCAACAAACGGCTATTAACGGATACGCGTCGTCCAAGGCAATGTCATTAGCGCACCGTGGGCCGTGGCCTCCAATTAAACATCGGGAATGTCTTCAGGGTGTTTAAATAAAATCAAACGACAGAGAATTCCGAATTCCACATCATGAAGGGATCGCAATGTCGCTTGAAATGTGTGGTTCAAAAGAGAGTCCAGAAAAAATATTTTTTATCATTTTTACACTGAAGAAAAAAACTAGTATATTTTAAAGTTACAGGTCTCATCAAAGCAAATTTTATCTCTAAGAAGTATTTATCCCTATTTGAACGCGATAAAAACCAGTCCCTCCCACCTGACGTCATCACCTTCGTGACACTAACCAACAACAACCCTCCAGCTGACCAAGGACGTGACGTTACAACAGACAGTCCAGTAGGTAAACCAAACCAGTCCCTCCAACCTGACGTAATCACCTTCGTGACACTAACCAACAACAACCCTCCAGCTGACCAAGGACGTGACGTTACAACAGACAGTCCAGTAGGTAAACCAAACGAGTCCCTCCAACCTGACGTCATCACCTTCGTCACACTAAACCAACAACAACCCTCCAGCTGACCAAGGACGTGACGTTACAACAGACAGTCCAGTAGGTAAACCAAACCAGTCCCTCCCAACTGACGTCATCACCTTCGTGACACTAACCAACAACAACCCTCCAGCTGACCAAGGACGTGACGTTACAACAGACAGTCCAGTAGGTAAACCAAACCAGTCCCTCCCAACTGACGTCATCACCTTCGTGACACTAACCAACAACAACCCTCCAGCTGACCAAGGACGTGACGTTACAACAGACAGTCCAGTAGGTAAACCAAACCAGTCCCTCCCAACTGACGTCATCACCTTCGTCACACTAATCCAACAACAACCCTCCAGCTGACCACGGACGTGACGTTACAACAGACTGTCCAGTAGGTAAACCAAACCAGCTCCTCCCACCTGACGTCATCACCTTCGTCACACTAATCCAACAACAACCCTCCAGCTGACCACGGACGTGACGTTACAACAGACAGTCCAGTAGGTAAACCAAACCAGTCCCTCCCAACTGACGTCATCACCTTCGTCACACTAATCCAACAACAACCCTCCAGCTGACCACGGACGTGACGTTACAACAGACTGTCCAGTAGGTAAACCAAACCAGCTCCTCCCACCTGACGTCATCACCTTCGTCACACTAATCCAACAACAACCCTCCAGCTGACCACGGACGTGACGTTACAACAGACAGTCCAGTAGGTAAACCAAACCAGTCCCTCCCAACTGACGTCATCACCTTCGTCACACTAATCCAACAACAACCCTCCAGCTGACCACGGACGTGACGTTACAACAGACAGTCCCGTAGGTAAACCAAACCAGTCCCTCCTACCTGACGTCATCACATTCGTCACACTAAGCCAACAACAACCCTCCAGCTGACCAAGGACGTGACGTTACGACAGTCCAGTAGGTAAACCAAACCAGTCCCTCCCAACTGACGTCATCACCTTCGTCACACAACCAACAACAACCCTCCAGCTGACCAAGGACGTGACGTTACAACAGACAGTCCAGTAGGTAAACCAAACCAGTCCCTCCCACCTGACAACTAATGAGCGTCTGATTCTTCAGCAATTCGTCTTCGTTCTGCGAGATACTGATCAGATATCAATATCTTAATTACCGGTTCACTGGCCGTCCTCCCAAACACGGGCTCAACCAACTAAACCGCTTTGCTGGCTGGTAAAACAGTTTGTTTTCCAGAACGTGTATTAGTCAACGTTATATACTTGTATAAAGTTCAGAGGATATTATATGGAAATGGTTGGTTTATTAATGCAATTAATAATCAGTACACCCACATTCCTTTCATAAATATTTACTAATAAGTTAAACTTCCAATTTGCAATTTGTTCAATAAGATGTTTTGGGGGTGTAATGTAAAACTACACACCATAATTAACTAATATTCTTCGGTATATTAATTGAGAGACTATGTGGTAGGAGGCATTCACCTTTAGGTGGGGAAAACATGTATAAAATAATATATCTTTACGACTACTAATTTTAAAAACATAAAGAATAATTGATTACTTACTTTTTCTAATTCTAATAGGTGAAACCGGAGGACCTGTATCGCTTGAACCATCTGAAACAAAACAAGAGCATTATGAACAAAAAGTATAGCGGTACAAATATTTAACAATAAATTGTGTTTATGGAAACGATTAAAACCTAATAATTAAGCAACAGTTCGAGGTATTTCAGGGACTGGGAAATAGAATTGGAGATTATTAGTGCATACCCTATATAGCGACATTGTGGGTAACTACAAACCTTTTGTTAAAGAGCAATATAATCAGTGAATGAGGCGTGAAAGAAAACTTAGTTTAAGACATCTGGATAAATACTGTTGACGGACAGGAAAATTGTACTAATAAATATTGCAGGGCACTGGACAGAATAATGACTCAGTGAGTGATGTGTCACAACCCCTGGTAAAAAGGTGTTAAAACTGAATACGTACATTATGTGAATAAAAATATAATTTGTATCAAACATTCTTATTAAATGCCAATTCGCCATCAGTCGGAATTATGAACTTTAAAATCACGAAAACATTAGGTAAATCTAAAATGTAATATACTATGTTTCCACGTCTAGATTTTTAAGCTAGGGTTTTCTTTGGGGGGCTTTCTCTAGAGGGCTAGAGTACATTTCTTTGTTTATTTTGAGTCTTGGTTGGACATTTTATCCGTTTGGTTTGTAAAGACTCCTTGGATTGTTGAAACATTATATAATTTATTTAAATCTTACTTTTCTTAGGCATTTTAAACAACTTTTGAGCTTCAGTTAATCATATGTTAATTATTTTATGTCTGAAATTTTATATTGTAGTTTTGCAGTTTACCTTCAGTACCAACACTTAAAATACATTGTCATTCCAAAATCGAAAACCCGAACCAAGAGGGAAGAGTTATGTCCGACCATTAGTTTTTTTTTTCTAATTCATTAAGATTTTACTTAAGAGTAAAACTATAAGTAAACCTTATAGGTAGTAGTCTTTGTTACGCATTGCTGTTGTCGGGTTACTGAGAGTGAGGTACAAAGACTCACAAGATGCGGTACTTTATAAGCTTAGCTGGCTCGGCTCGGCAAATTTCAATGATCAGTCGCCTCGCGTTACAAAACCTTTCTCCAACGGTGCTCTGATGATTTCACTTTGGGTTCAGTTCCGTTTGGGCGAAAACAGGTGGCCACAAGACAGGTGGTCAGTGACGTGACTTCACCAACCCCTTATAAATAACTCCTACCGCCACAAGTACGAGGTTATAGGGTCTGATGAGGGTGTCGGCGAAGAAATCAGTAGTGTGGTAGTTGAGTGATGTTTTACACAAATGCAGTATTTCATAGCACGAATACAATCCGATCAATGATATGCAGCTCGATATTTATTTATGTGGACATTAAGGGTTGATATAAAGAAATTCTGTAGGCTACAGATGTGGGTTAATCATCACGAATCGTCCCTGAACAGTTTAGATGTCATCCATTACTCGAATAACCCAGACGGCCAACAACAATAACTTTTTAATAGACTGTAGTAACATTCGAGTTGTAATACAAATGATGTTGAAACGTAAACATAATGAAAGCGTTAATTCAGAGTGGTAATGAGCTGATTTATAGCACTGCCCGGCCCATCCTCCGGCGGCCTCACTCTATGGTAATAACAGTATCTGGGACCGCCGTAAAGATGACTATCTCTAATGCCTTTCGTTACAATTTTTAATTACTCTTTACAATCTTTATGCAATCATAATTAAATTACAATCAGATAAGCCTTGCACGTTTCACAGCATCGTAGAGAGGTTAGGGCTCCTGGGTTACTCTATCGCTTCATTACATCATAATCATATTTCATCGAATCATCTATCGTCCGCTAGCAGTAGTGAGATTAGGGGTTCTAGATACATTATCACTTATAAAAACCCATACTGTACCAAACCATTTAGTCCATCCTCCTCTTGGTCAATAATAAATCCCAACATTGACTGACTTGGAAAACGGTTCAAGGCTACGATATCCTTTAGCCCAAATATGAGTGAATAATGGGTGTAGAATGAAGTGGTATGCCTTGTGTTGCTCTGTCACTGACTAAGAACAGCTGTTTTTAAGACAGTACCGGCGGGCAGGACCATTTACTAAAAGACCAGTGATCCAGTTGGACAGTTTCGAACCATCCTAACCTCAGGATCGAACCAACGACCTTTAAATTAATAGGCAAGCACTATAACCACTCAGCTACCCAGATATACAGTACTACTCTTGATTTAAAACCTAACCTAACCTAACCTGACAATTAATCGGGTTGAATCCCAAAAATACTTTGGAGTTTAAACATGCTGTACAACTAATGTTCATCATAGCCCTTTGAGAAGTCCACAAATTCGAGATTAGAAGCTGTGGGAAAGTGCGTGTAATTAATGTTGCGGGTGAGATAGTGGTATTTGTCATTGACTTCCTGCATCAGGCAAACAAGGGTAGGTGGGGGAGTTATCAGTAGGAAACGGAAGGTAGTGTTGACAGAAGATAGGTTAGGTGGTGGAGACCACGATATCACCAGTCACCTCCCGCGACCTACAAGTGTTCTACAGCACTCACCTCCGTACAAACAAAGCGTATTTCAATCCAAAGGAACTGTTTAACATGGAGCGTCGTCTATCGCAGGGGGTTATCAACGGCATACGTTGTGTCTCCCAGTCATACAGTGGTATACAGGGTTGTTGTATGTTGTATGTGTCCCAGTCACACAGTAGTATACAGTGTTGTTGTATGTTGTATGTGTCCCAGCTACACAGTAGTATACAGTGTTGTTGCATGTTGTATGTGTCCCAGCTACACAGTAGTAAATAGTATACAGTGTTGTTGTATGTGTCCCAGCTACACAGTGGTATACAGTGTTGTTGTATCTTGTATGTGTCCCAGCTACACAGTAGTATACAGTGTTGTTGTATGTTGTTTGTGTCCCAGCCACACAGTAGTAAATAGTATACAGTGTTGTTGTATGTGTCCCAGCTACACAGTGGTATACAGTGTTGTTGTATCTTGTATGTGTCCCAGCCACACAGTGGTATTGCCGTCTGTTGCTCTTGCCTGTTGTAAGGATGTAATCCGATACACCCAGGCGTGGAAGGGGATGAGTTGCAAGGTCATATAAACCACTTCGACGATTTAGAAGCCCTTCAAAACCACACCACAAACTCTAGTACGCGCGTACGCTGTGAATTTCTTAAACTGCCGTTGCTGAAACTTGAATTTTGATTTATTACTTTACAATACATTTGTATCCTTTGGATTTGATGGAACGTTTGATGTGTAAAGGTGAGCGTTCTAAGACCACGAGTGTTTATTTGTGGAGGGTGTCTGATTTATCAGTCCCAGGAGAGGCTATCAGCATCAGAGTCTCGTTACGTGACACAACGGTCGGTCTCGTTACAACATTGACACTGCCAATTAGACAAGCACACTGTCACCATCAGCAATCAGCAATACAGTAATACCACCATTACAGATTACTATAGTTTATTATTTCGCTTTGCATCTTACATCAAATAAACGAGCCAACCTGTCCAATGTTTATGTTATGTGAATACAGTTATTAAAAATTGTACTAGAATACATTGTAAGGAAAGGCAATCTTTTCGACTATCAAAAACGCCTATAACTTTGAATCCGGTTAAAGTGATTATAATAACTTCAACCTGGCTACTTTCAATATTAACTTATATTGCTCGAGTGTGTAGAAGCCAATCGACAGGGACGCTATGCGGGTTTCTTTTCACGTGTGTTTGCCTAGTTGTACTGAGCCTGTGATATTTGCCCATATCAACCACTCTGACGGCCCACATGTGTGTTCAGGTGAAGCGTGCTTTTACCTTTGTACCACGGACGACTTCAATAGTTACAATTTGATGTACCTGTCAATAATAACAGCGTTGAAACTACTGAAAACAACACCTAAAAAAACAGGACCCGATGCAAAATTTACATGGATAATTTTATATTTGTGACAAATTTACTGTCGTAAATCTTAAAACATATTATTGACGCATTATACGATTATGCACGAAAACAATCACGACTATGTCCTTAATAAACAAACTTGTGAACAACCATTAGCCCTTCAGTATTCAGCACATAATCACAGAGAGAGTATTTCACACGTACTAAGTTCATTTAGAACCCGTATCAGACTGTAGAAAACATTAGTATATAAATATTCAGCGTGACGGTCGTTAATAACAAAACGAGCGTCTGATTGGCCGTTAACTAGTGTCGCACTTCGGGCGAAGCGTATTTTCATCTTCAAAGGCAGCAGAATGAAACGGCATATCGTGCGGCCAAGAACAGCACTAAACTGTTAATGGCCACAATAAACCTCCTGCTTAACAACATATTATGATGTAATTAAAGAGCGACGGTTGTGACAAAAAGCTAGTCCATAAAACAGATGCGCTGTCAATAAATAAGATTCGCGTGTTAACCTTTGTCGTGCTGCTGGCCCGACCACACCTCTGCTGTGTCGTTAGTGTTAGTGGACTTGGGGTCAGTGGTGCTTGGTGCTGTACTAGCCACTAGCCTATCACAAGCTGACCCGACCACACCTCTGCTGTGTCGTTAGTGTTAGTGGACTGGGGGTCAGTGGTGCTTGGTGCTGTACTAGCCACTAGCCTACCACAAGCTGGCCCGACCACACCTCTGCTGTGTCGTTAGTGTTAGTGGACTGGGGGTCAGTGGTGCTTGGTGCTGTACTAGCCACTAGCCTACCACAAGCTGGCCCGACCACACCTCTGCTGTGTCGTTAGTGTTAGTGGACTGGGGGTCAGTGGTGCTTGGTGCTGTACTAGCCACTAGCCTACCACAAGCTGGCTCGACCACACCTCTGCTGTGTCGTTAGTGTTAGTGGACTGGGGGTCAGTGGTGCTTGGTGCTGTACTAGCCACTAGCCAATCACAAGCTGGCCCGACCACACCTCTGCTGTGTCGTTAGTGTTAGTGGACTGGGGGTCAGTGGTGCTTGGTGCTGTACTAGCCACTAGCCTACCACAAGCTGGCCCGACCACACCTCTGCTGTGTCGTTAGTGTTAGTGGACTGGGGGTCAGTGGTGCTTGGTGCTGTACTAGCCACTAGCCAATCACAAGCTGGCTCGACCACACCTCTGCTGTTTCGTTAGTGTTAGTGGACTTGGGGTCAGTGGTGCTTGGTGCTGTACTAGCCACTAGCCTATTACAAGCTGGCTCGACCACACCTCTGCTGTGTCGTTAGTGTTAGTGGACTTGGGGTCAGTGGTGCTTGGTGCTGTACTAGCCACTAGCCTATCACAAGCTGACCCGACCACACCTCTGCTGTGTCGTTAGTGTTAGTGGACTTGGGGTCAGTGGTGCTTGGTGCTGTACTAGCCACTAGCCAATCACAAGCTGGCTCGACCACACCTCTGCTGTGTCGTTAGTGTTAGTGGACTTGGGGTCAGTGGTGCTTGGTGTTGTACTAGCCACTAGCCTATCACAAGCTGGCGCGACCACACCTCTGCTGTGTCGTTAGTGTTAGTGGACTTGGGGTCAGTGGTGCTTGGTGCTGTACTAGCCACTAGCCTATCACGAGCTGGCTCGACCACACCTCTGCTGTGTCGTTAGTGTTAGTGGACTTGGGGTCAGTGGTGCTTGGTGCTGTACTAGCCACTAGCCTATTACAAGCTGGCTCGACCACACCTCTGCTGTGTCGTTAGTGTTAGTGGAGTTGGGGTCAGTGGTGCTTGGTGCTGTTGTGTATTCATTGGTGCTGTACTAGCCACTAGCCTATCACAAGCTGGCTCGACCACACCTCTGCTGTGTCGTTAGTGTTTGGCCACTAGCCACTAGCCTATCACGAGCTGGTAAACTGTTATTCGTTACGGTCAGATATTAACTAGAATTCGTTTAGATTTCCTAGCGGTTCTTGCTGATATAGGTAATTATGCAAGAATACATTCAAAGTAAATCGTGTATCATGTTTGTCACCATACCCAGTGGCTCTGGATATAGGCACCACACGAACAAGATATATTTACTGTATCTTAATGCATCGTAATCAACGCTATGAGCGATTTTAAAAAATACCGCAGAATGATAAAAATTGTTACAAACCGTAAAACAATTCGCTATAGGTTAAATTGTAACAGGAATTTCACTGATGCGAGGGTGGAACATCGTTGTACATGAGATAACAGGTATCTTATTGTTCAGTAACAAGCAGATAACAGGCACAGTATTCGATTAGTAACAGGTTACATGGTGTCACGGTATCAGTCACAGATACTACAGCTAATTACCATCGCATTTCATTATATTATGTTAAACGAAAAAAGTTAGATGGCAATAAGTTTCTCGATACTAGATGGGTATGGAACAGCGAGATGTGCAATTTTCTTTGCATTTTAGGAAGGCTAATTGTACGTAATAACAGTTATAATGACTTACTGTATAAAAACTTGAAACTAATTTGTTGTTGACTTTGTCATATGCATGTACCTTGCAAATTACGGCAATAAAAAGTTTCCGATTTGTGAATGATAATTTTAAATTAAATTTTAGACATTGTTATATAATTGTTGTTTTTATATTTAACCTGAAAGGAGAAAAGGCTTTCAAAAATTGCAATTTTAAAACCAAAAGGCCACAGTTCAGACCTGAAGGATATTTTAGTTTCTGTCGTCAATGTCTGCTGGCTGAAGCAGTTCTGGGTGTGACCGGTTTTGCTATCCAGCAGTAAAATTGTGCAGAACATTGAACTTTGGCTTGCCTCTAGACTCTGGGATTCTACACTAATGTCTATTAGACTTACCAGAGAGTCGACCTCGGGGTCAGCGATGTAGTAGGGCTTCTCTTGGCGAATCTGCAACACAAGAGATAAAGAGGTAAATAAAGTGCAAGCGTCAGGGTTTGAACTTACACACTGATGGAATATAAACAAACGTGGTTTTATACAAAATTTAGAGCAAAGAATTCTTATTAAATATTCAAACCGAAGTCAGTAACAGTTAAGTGACGGCAACACTAGACCTGGGGGCTTTATCTACACTTCTGCTCTCTAGGGACCCAGCTGTAGAAGAGATAAACTCGCTATTTTACAGTCAAAACAGCAATCATTGGCCTTTAACAAGTACAGAACCAGCATCGATATGTTTTATTCTAATTAACCCAAATATTGGTTCGTTGACAGTCTCAATACCAGGCAGACCGACAAGGTCTCGATCAACAATAGAGATAACACTATGTACAGTATTTCGTTGACGGACGATTCACACATTTACCGTCAAAAAGTGAAACATTGTACAACAAAGCAAATAATATGTCGTTCTGGGACCTAATTCAAACTGTATCAGTTAGAAGATTGTAATCTTGTAGTCTGAAAATTATTGCTCACTAAAATAGTGAGTTGACGACGGCCCAATCAACGGGACTGGTCGACCAAATGTGTTTTTAAGCAGATTGGCAGAAAAAGCGTCGCCCCAAGCCCCGGCCGCTCACACGTGTGTTGAAACCGGAGATCTGCTGAGTTATTTTGGAAAAGGGTCTTCCACCCCACGGCCCTGCGGGACTCGCTAGGGCGAATTTGTAAACCACATGGGCACTTTTGGTACTCTACCAGCGAGCGTTCACATTTACTGGTCACCTTGAAATAGTCACACAGAAGATAGCTGTGGTAAATAGACTGACGAGCTCTTAGATTATCAGTTTAGTTTGCAAATATGCTGCACTCCTCTTGAATAAACAAGAGCGCGTTGAATAAGATAGCACTAAAACTACGAATTCATAATTTTACCACTTAATGGTCGAGTCCACCTCTAAGGGGGTGATTACGTATGTACATGGGTCCTCTATCGATCGGTTTCGTCGAAGATATACATTAAAGGCGATGACTTAACAGATCGTACAATGGCAGGTCTAATGGGTCTCCTGGCGGCGCGACCCAATGTTGCCACTTCTCCTCTATACACCTACACTATACACACGCACACACTGGTATGCGAGGAACACAATAAACAAAGTTATGTGGAAGATAAATAATTAATTAAACGACTCGAGTGAGCCCCATCTAGGGTAAAATTTAAATTTCATTACGTTTGGGATAGCTAGAATGCGACAGTACACATTTAGTACTATAAGCAGTGGTCACCAAATATTGTTAACCATACACTTATACTCGGGCCTCTAGCAGCAGAAACACGTTTCGCTTCGTTACAACGGCGCATTCCCTTGTCGGACCCGTTAACAGGCTTTGAAGAAACCATTATCTCACGACAGCTCGCGATAATTATGATTTTAAAAAAGATTCAAGACTTGTAAATGCGTCGAGTGGAGGGTGTCGCTAAAAACTGACTACGGAATGTTAAAGAGCATCTCGATGAGTGATAAGCAAGAAGAGCGCGAGGAACAAATGCGAAGCGACAGCAGCGGTGCATCGGAGCGCAAAAACCGGGCGGCGGCTTTAGCCCCGTCAAACTATCCGAGAAAAATTAAAAATATATTCCGAACCGATATGATGGAGCTGGGCTCACGGCCGCGGAATGTCGGTCGACCGGTCGCCACGACAAAAGGGGAATTATCATGTTCATTTGAGCGGGGCCTTTCTTTTTTTGAATTTCATAATTTGTCCGGCGATGATTAGCCATTAACACGTAACGCGGCGCTGCTGTTGCCCTCGTAACTCATATTTATGTGATACGGAGATCGGTGACAAGTCCCTTCACCGCCGCACCTCACGCTTTTTGTAACGCTCCCAGCCGTTTATTGCACTTGCGTGGGATTAAAGGCGATTGGTGTCACAGGACCACATTCTGCATTCTGCCTTGTACTGAGCTAACCATGAGCAATCAGTAACTACGTAGAGGACACGAAACTCTTATAAAAATACACGTAGGTGCCATGAAAATAATTGAATAGAGTATACAGACACAAATTGTTTTAGTGCAGAACAAGAAGACAATGCACGTGCTGGAGCGTGGAAAGTAGCTCCCACATCAACAAGACCGCAGAGGTTGTATACGTAAACCTGTTGTTAATAAACGGGACGCCGTGAAATGCAATAGCGTAAACAGTTGACCGCATGTTATGATACGCATTACCATCCCGGCACTCCACTCCGCCATTGTTGTACTGTACACTGTACGGCACGTGCAGTCTGTCTCTTCTCCTCTCTCCTCTTACAAACAATCTCCTTTTAATTACCGTCTTTCTCGAGTTCCTTTTGTTTCTTCCTGTCTCCGTTAACAACAGTTATTATGCGTTAAAATTGCCTAATAATCCTCCGAATTCGTCAAACGTTGTTGGAATGTCTTAAATGTCTTGTCTTGTTTCTTTGATAATAGTGTATTCGTAAACCTACGTCGGAAAAATCCCTAAACAAAAAAGCCAGCAAAAATGTTACATTTTCTGACCGAAACCACAATTATCAAACCCAATGGCCGAGAAGCAAAACATATCGTAACCGTAAAATCGAGATTTCTGAATAACGCCTGGTCATGAATCTCTGATTAGGTATATCCTCGCGGATTTAGTTAAACATTTGGAGGAACAGATAGTTGGTGCGCGTGTATTAGTAGCCGGGTGCGTGCGTGCGTAGGGAAGATATAGGAGGATGTCTCGGTTAAGTGGGTGCAGATGTGGGCAAGACTAATAAATCTCTACCAATCATACACCACCGCTACTTCCACACACATCTATAAACACTGCTGGCTCACACTCCCAACAAAACATCAATCGCGACACAACTGTAGATAGACTTTGTGATGGCAATGTCACAGGCCAAGGGGAGGTGACAGCACACCACTCCACAACTACAGAGCAACCACCACATGACGGTGCAACTGTAGATAGACTTTGTGATGGCAATGTCACAGGCCAAGGGGAGGTGACAGCACACCACTCCACAACTACAGAGCAACCACCACATGACGGTGCAACTGTAGATAGACTTTGTGATGGCAATGTCACAGGCCAAGGGGAGGTGACAGCACACCACTCCACAACTACAGAGCAACCACCACATGACGGTGCAACTGCAGATAGACTTTGTGATGGCAATGTCACAGGCCAAGGGGAGGTGACAGCACACCACTCCACAACTACAGAGCAACCACCACATGACGGTGCAACTGCAGATAGACTTTGTGATGGCAATGTCACAGGCCAAGGGAAGGTGACAGCACACCACTCCACAACTACAGAGCAACCACCACATGACGGTGCAACTGAAGATAGACTTTGTGATGGCAATGTCACAGGCCAAGGGGAAGTGACAGCACACCACTCCACAACTACAGAGCAACCGCGACACGACTGTAAATCATATGGTGTTGCTGTTTGATAAGGGCTATCGAGTTCAATTAAACAAATCAGAGATCACAAATAGACTGTTATCATTCCACTTGCCGCCTCTCGCATATCTGCTGCTGGTTGGAGACAGGCGTCGCAATATCTCCAATCTCCTTATGGCTATACAAGTTCGACTCTTTGTTATTTTCAACTTGCCTCCAGACCCAGAACTGTATTTCTAACCCCCTACTGTACCACTGTCCCGCATTCTCTCCAGACCCTGGAATGTATTTCTAACCCCCTACTGCACCACTGTTCCGCATTCTCTCCAGACCCAGGAATTTATTTCTAACCCCCTACTGCACCACTGTTCCGCATTCTCTCCAGACCCAGGAATTTATTTCTAACCCCCTACTGCACCACTGTTCCGCATTCTCTCCAGACCCTGGAATGTATTTCTAACCCCCTACTGCACCACTGTTCCGCATTCTCTCCAGACCCTGGAATGTATTTCTAACCCCCTACTGCACCACTGTTCCGCATTCTCTCCAGACCCAGGAATGTATTTCTAACCCCCTACTGCACCACTGTTCCGCATTCTCTCCAGACCCTGGAATTTATTTCTAACCCCCTACTGCACCACTGTTCCGCATTCTCTCCAGACCCTGGAATGTATTTCTAACCCCCTACTGCACCACTGTTCCGCATTCTCTCCAGACCCAGGAATTTATTTCTAACCCCCTACTGCACCACTGTTCCGCATTCTCTCCAGACCCTGGAATGTATTTCTAACCCCCTACTGCACCACTGTTCCGCATTCTCTCCAGACCCTGGAATGTATTTCTAACCCCCTACTGCACCACTGTTCCGCATTCTCTCCAGACCCAGGAATGTATTTCTAACCCCCTACTGCACCACTGTTCCGCATTCCGTAAGCGAGGAAGCTTATTTTGGAACAGATAAATCAGTTTGTTTGTGTGCGACTAGAGCGGTCCACGGGGCTCCATCCCTCCCCTCTTGAATTTACTTTTTGTTATTAAAAAGGTGTAAAGATGCGTGTATTGTGCAGGCATTTACGGGGTATCCTGTACAATGGACGCATTATAGTCCCTGCACGGGGGACCCCGCACCCCTGTGTACTGTACACCCCGGACCCTAGATAGACAGCCGTCTATCTCTACTGTACGAGGACGAATCAAATACCAGTGTCACACATGGTTTTCAATACTTACCGACCATTTCGACGCATTTACAATATGTGTGGATGATAAATAACAATTGACGGTTAAAGTGGAGACTTTCGTGCATGCGCTTATAGATCTACAACTTTGGACGAATTACACTGGTATGTGTAGTTGAAAGTGATGTGGGTGTGTGTGGATGTATACAGAGCTACAGACCACATCTGTCGTCCGATTTTAATGAAATTTGGTACGTAGGTATTAATCCATTATATCTCCAGGTGTTTTTTTTCTTGCAAGATTGTTGTTTGTCCAAGTCAAAGACATTTTTATCTTTGATGGATTTTCGCAAATATTTAAATTTTGTTTAGTTTCAAAATATATTTTTCTTGTATCTGACTTCCCAACTGTCCCAACTCGTGGCAAGGAAATTCCCAACTTTTCTCTTTTCCAGATTCTAGGGGGGGAGGCTCCCCCCTACCCCCCCTAAGGCGACGCCCCTGTCTTTCATCAACTTATACTGTAGTTGTTTCAAAACCTTTGCCCACAAACCTTTGCCACTAAAAAAAGTTAAATAATCGTACAATCGAATCACTTTAAACCATAAAAAATATATAAACTGAATACCGGAACAATGAACCCGTATTACTTTATACTTAAACGGAGCTTAGTATAAAATTAAAGACTAATTAGTTAAAGACTAATGCCAATCTTGCATGATGATTTAACAGTGAATACAAGCACAAGACCCTTAAATTAAATTATGTCATCTCTGTGATTTCACTACGGTATATCACCATTCTTCACATCGCTGTACTTTGGACCCAATGAGCGAAATATTGAACAAGTTTCAGCGATAACGATTATTCTTATCATTACAAGTACCTATGTAACTTGATTCGTTTAACTAAATATTATGATTATAATAACTACAAGACCACGTATTTAATAATTTGTATTGGTTTTGTATGACAAATAATAATAAAATAATGTTCCTGCAAGTTATATAATAAGCCATTGAAATAATACTCGGGAGTGGTGAAGGCCTATATCGGTTCCGATCTAGTATAAATTGTCCTGTAGGTGGCCAAACTAGCGGAAGTAAGCGAGTTGGGGTACAAAGCGAGGTCTGCAGGGGGCCCGAGTGTCAGGGGCCCGGGCTAATCCGGGGCCTGCTGCGAACTACAAAAACAATCAAAACACGCGGCAAAACCACTTAAACTGCACAGCACTTGTAATTGGCCCCTCGCAAAAGCAATACTTCATAACGCGGGGATTACAGTGGCGTTGTAATGCGTTTAGCCACAACTATTATCGTCCGTGTACTTTTCATCTGTCAAAACAAAGTTCAATTAATTCCATGCATTAGTAATTATCGCAGCGTATAAATATTTTCCGCAGACTCGCTGCACCTAATATAAAACCCAATTTATTTCGAATTGACACATTCAATCTGCATAAACAATTTACACAGATGAACCAGATTAAAATGATCCCAGATTTGTGAATAATATAGACCGTTGTTCGTTTTGCGATCAAATTATTACCGGTATTAAAAATATCTGTTACTAGATAAATATCGTTGATACCGATTGGTATATGCGTGTGTTTTGTACTTTTTCTCGAATAGTTTACATTAACTATACAGTACATTAAATATTTTTTAATACGCTGGCTTTCTTTAGGTAGTTTATGTAAGCAGATTTTAGTTTTCACCTATAGAAAGCTAACGGCTGTAGTAAATTAACAAGGTATGCAAACGGGGCACTTGTTTGGTCATCGCTTCTTCTTCTGTTGCAGCGTTTTCGTCACGGTTTGGAGGCATTTCACGGACGAAGAGACTGTCTAGAGAGACCTCGTAACACGATATGTTTTCTTCTTATTCTGCTCGCCGTACACACACGCACACGCACACACACCAGCCGTGGACAACATTCCTTTTTAGCAATGGATGGTCCGCTATTATAGGGACTCCCGCGGTGGGTGGATGTTCTCGCATCAGCTCAAAATATATCTTAAGAACATGGTCGTGTAACATACATCTAAGCGACATAAAGGAGTAAAATATAAAAATAATAACGCCGGTATCAAAATAGTAAATATAGGAAAGTAACGTAGATGATCAATGAACCGTACACAAAGAAAAATAATAGGCCCTAACGTTACAATGTTTACAATGAATAATGTGATGAAATGTTTTGTATTGTACCATGTAAATAATCGCATAAAAATATAAGGGCCAAAACCAGACCATCACTACGACAGTTTTTATTGTAAACTGCGTAAATAAATGTTTAATACTTATACTGTATCAGGCAATGAATTAATGACCCTGTATATTGGAGAGCAGCAACAAACGACGTTGCATCACGGTGGTAAAGCGAAGACGGCCAAACCAAACCACAACTGAGTCCCATCACCAAGTTTATTTATTTACATTACAAAACCAGCGTACACTCCCGTCCCGCAAAACTGGCCCACACGACGCTATCAATAGCCTAATTACGATTAAATAGCTACACGATATTTTCTCAGCAGCGGAGTGTACGGCATCTGGCATCTCCCGTCAAGGCAGGACAAAAAATTAAAACTGACTCGGAAAAAACTGGAATTTCTTCTTTTATACGGTTGTAGTCGGAGGCGATGACGCGGCCGCGGACCGATCTCGCAGCAGACTGCAGCAGCAGGCTTATCAAATAATTACAAGTCTCAATGAGAAAAAATAATTAAAGAAGTCGACAGTGGTTACTGGTTATCAGTTCGGTGCGCTTCGGTGGCCGCTGAGAAAAGTCCCCTTGTCCTGGCGGAAGTCTCCCGATCAACGCAAGACAATAGGGTAATTTAATTACTAGTGGCATTTACCTATCTACTCGGTTTCATCTAATCAGTCAATAGCTTTTAAAAAGTTCACTGCTATTGTGTTACTATAAGCAAACATGTAAAACAAAACGTACCTTATGCGGCGTAACATTTCATACACTTTGTGGTTAAGGGTATAATTTGAATACGTAACTACAAATTACAATATGTATTTCTCACTTTCCCTTCACCACTGAGAGCCTACATAACGTTTATTTGTGGATTCACCCCTGCATGCAAGATACAAACATGTATAAGCCCAAACAGGCTGGGCGAAACGACGCGGCCTAGACTAAACAAAAACCTCCCCCTCCAAGGGTTGAGGTTTAGAATTTTTTAATACCGGTCCTGCATTGAGCGCGGTAAAAAATAGAACGAGAAACACAAATGGAGTTTTCAGCTGGTTAATGAAAGAAGGATCGGTCCCGAGCCCGAGGACAATACCGGGCTCTGATTGGAGGATCTAACCACGGCGGTCGTCATTGTGACCTCAGCCTCACCATACCTATTGACAAGGAGTATAGGCTATAGGAACCGTTCTGAGAGGGTTTACAAATTAGCATTTGTAGCTTAGTTAAAATATGTTGATTTAGAACCTAATTTAAATAGACTAAAAATACATCTATAACTTGTAGAATGATTATATATTACATCCTCCTCGACACACGGACCGTCCTCTCATCAAGACGGATTAAAACATTCATCTCCAACTACGAGACGAAAGTGAAAATCGATCAAAAATAAAAACAGTTGGACACTAACCGAAATACGACCGAACAAATGAAGAGTCGCAATAAAAGAATCGGAAGCATCAATTAATCCGACGTAAAACTAACGGAAGGGGTAGTAAATAAACAGTTATCAGAGAATGGGCTCTTGGCCGGGTTTTTATAGACAGTTAACTGTAGTTAGGGCTGCTGCTGAGACTCAAGTCAAGAGCATGAAGTGAGAATTAGACCACTATATTTAGCTGGGGAGCCGCGCGCTCAGACGAAACACAAGCTTGGCTTTACCGCAGATGGTCTATTAACTTTCTGTAATAAGCCTAGAGCCAAATGCCGGCTGTTTTATAGTGTGTCATCGTCGTTGCAGGTGCAGCGGCTCAAGCTTTAAATTGATAAAGAAGGACGCTGTACAGTGTACATGTGTCATAGTATCTTCTTACTTTTAAACTACTGACCAAACATAAATAACGAGATGTAAATCAGAAGAGAAGACAACCAACATTCCAGGTACTGTATTATGAGAGCATATAATCTTTGATCGTATAGTACATGTGTAGCTGAGCCTGCAATGCTCCATCCACACTCTACAGTGTACTGTGTCACTGTGTGGCCATTGGACACCGTCGGAGGTGAGCACGGCGAAGATAGGAACGCGACGAGTCTTTCGCAGAACCTCGACCTAAAATCAAATTAGCGCCTGCTCTGACACAGGAAGTGATTCTGCCGGTAATTAACAGTTTTTTATTTCTGTTAATTAAAATCGGGAGCGCTTACTGCTGGAATGTCGCCGGACCGGCCTGTTCCGCGAACCCGCGCGGCAAGAAATCATATTTGTCGCAACAAGGTACACGGTGTACGTCCATTGATGGTCCATATTTGGTCCCGGGACTTCGGTCCAGGAATGCTCGGGAACCTCCCCGATCCCCGGTCATTCCTGTCCGTTTGTCTCGAGCCGACGATCGGCTTTGGAAGTCGATAATCGGTTCTCCGGTAGAAGAGGAATTTTTGCGGGCAATTATATCTCATAGCCACGAACGTGAGGCGCTATCGCAAACTGTTCTTTGGAGAAGCGAGATTTCTTTCCTTGGGAAAATGCGCGATAGAAAACTTTGAGACTCCTTTCGCATCGCAAGTTTGTATGTGTAAAACATCGGGACGCTTTTTGTTTATTCTCGTGAAGATGTCTGATCACGTTCGACATTTCATAAGTACAAATGCTCTTTCCAACATAAAAATAAATAATTCAACGGTTACGGCTTCATTTGAACATCCCCCAATCCTCAAAGTAAATTGTTGCTATTCAATACATCAGAACTAGTTAGGGTAAAATTAAGACTAGATGAAGTAAGGTTAAGTAGGATAGGTCGGTGATCGTATCCAGTGTTTGACAACGTACTTGTTTCGAGAAGACGGCGATGTCCTCGTTGAAGGACTCGGAGGAGCAGACGTCGCCGCCCGCTACTCCAGGTTCTCTCGGCGTACACGTCGCCAGCTCACACTTCTCAAAGATGAGGGCCAGCAACGGGAACAGAGGGTGGCTGCAACAAACCAAACACAAGTAAACACAAAGCCACTCCAGGGTACGTTCTCTCAGGGATCAAGCAACTTATCATTACAGGCTAGCCGCAAAGTCTGCGAGAGGCCAATAAATTAGGACGGAAAGATTGGTGCAACAAGTGCAGGCAGTTCGCATCTGCTCGGGGCCTAGAAACACTATACTTAACGGTTTAGCCAAAAGTGTAATTATGGAGAGCTGTTGGAGGGGGAGGGGGCGAACACCTGGCCCTGGCCACATTCCCGGCATGCCTTGCGAGACCCGGGGGTGGAACAGGGTAGAATGGTAGAAATAGACCTCCCGAGACAGCAATCGCATCCTCCAAACTTGAGGAATAAGCCTAACACAAGCAGGGATCTCACGTACGCTATACGCTATAAGCTGCACTTGATTGAAACACTATGATCACGACACTTTAACAGTTTGTTCCATTCTCGGCCTTGTACGAGTAGCTGCCATGTAATTTGCCAGGCAAAGAGCAAACAATTTGTTCGCTCTAATGCTTTGTGAGAACCCCAACTAATTACCAAACAATTTTTCCAGAAAGCCAGAAACTTAGTTAAAGGAAGAAAATTAAAGAAAAAAAAATACAGAGTTATCTACACGTGTAGCTTAAAAATATAACTGAAAAGTGGGCTTTTCTTGCTAAATATTTAAACATCACTGATGTAGATTTCGAGATTTTTATAGTAACACCTTGGACCATCAATGAATGACATTGTTTCCCTCTTTCGTCTTGTTCTGCTCTTTTTTATTCGTAATATTGTCTGAGAAGTACGAGTGACAGAGCCTCTGTCCTAGGACTTGGTTCTAGATTGAACAGCTGAGTGATATAGGTCTGACGAAGATGCTCGCTCATTTACATCATTAGATTCCCTAGTTGGTCCTCATTTAGCTGTTGCCTTATACGCGTTCCACAAATTGATGTAATTCTCGCTGAATGTCATAATCAAATGTCTAGGTCATTAACTGGACAACGTCTGGTCCCGTCCTTGCAACGCTTGAGGCTCGTCAATGTCACCACTATAATGCAGACCACTAACATTTAGTAGTAATATCACTGTATGATAAATTGTAATAACTGTACGAAATTGTTTAACTCATTAAATAACAACAGCAATAAATGAAACAGAATCTTCATAAGAAGTACCTACGTTACAATCAATCGAACAGAGGTTATCACAACAATGATAACGGGCTGTTGCGCTTCATTCGTAACTTGGATTGTAGAACCAATGTAAGTTTAAGAATAATTAATTTAAAAAAAGTAATATAATAATGAATATTTATAAATAAAAACCTGTCATAAAGCCATGTGACATTTATGTATTACGTAATATGTTACTGCGAAGCTGCAACATAAGCCGGCAAACAGCGTCCTACGGTGACGTCACGATTCGTGCATAACCAGGTGTAGGATTTTACAAATGGCTGGTCCGATGTGTTCATACCCACATTTCGATTGATAGTCTGATAAATCATAAGAAGGATTACTTGCAAAGCATTGAGGATCAAAGTAAACCCAACTGAGAACGCAGTTTCCTCATTAATTGTCGAGGTGAGCCAGCAAGAAAACATACAGATTGATAGGTGCTCAGGTCTTAAAAAGGAATATTCCACACAATCTTTCTTCGAACACCGTAAAAATGGGGAGTCGTAAAAGAATCACGGACATAAACAGAAATCCAACAACTCTATAAAATTCGTGGACCGGACCGAGACAAAAAGAGTCCAGCGATTCGGCTAATTTAAGTAACGCTGTAAAGGTTGAAGCTAACAGACAAATTTTGATTTAACGATGGTTGGCGAATGCCAGGTGGGTTATAGCTCATAAAGTGTACAATGTCGACCGATGGTTAATGGCTTATTGTTATATTATATGCTCGGTCGGCGGCGTGATATACTGAGGACAGGTGCGCCGGAGGTCACGGGTTCGAACCCCGAGACGGAGTGAAACAAACGTATCTTGCTGATGTATAGGTCGTTACAGCTAATTGGTTTTGTGTCATACATATTACGAGATTGTGTAACATGGCATTGTTGATTTAATAAAATACTACCTTCAAAAACACAACCATAAAAAATAAATGACAATACTGTGTTTTCATAACAAATACGGTAATCTAAAATGAATTTTAATCCTGAGACTAGTTTTTCTCCTCATCAAAAGTAAACCAAATAACAAGGTTGCATTGTAATGTTTTTACAAAATACTGTACTGGAAACAATTTGAAAGTGGTAAAACAAAGTGAGCTGTCTTGAGCTTTGTGACACGTATGAAATGCCACGCGAGCCGTGATAAGGGGCATTAGCATACAATAATAATACACGGGACCACCGACCACCGACAAGTGCACTGCGAGTACTGTAGGTACATGCGGCACGGAACTGATAAAACACAAGACTTGTAGCAGTCCACCACAAATTACACAAGTTGAACAAATAAATACTGTGGCATTGTGTACCATTCACCTTGAATAAAATTGGTATAACAATAAGTTGTGCAACAATATTGATTTTGTAATAGACACAGTTCAATACAAGTGAATAAATTTACTAACAAAACTGGTTAAAACTAATTTTGCCGTGAAATTTATCTGCAAGTGAGACCTACTGAGTCTTCTAGAATCACAACGTAAACATGACGTAGCTCTTTGACGCCTAGACACAAGGAGAAGGAGGCGAACAGTTTGACTTATCACTCACCCGTAAATGGAGTCCTTATCCCTTTTATGGACGTCGGGTACGGCGCCCATGACGTGGTTGGCAGCGGGGGCGACATGGTTGGTGGCAGGGTGGAACTGGTGCATGGTGGCATGGTTCATGTGAGGCGAGTGGTGGGCCATGGCCTGCAATGGGCGATGGCCAGCGTGAGGGTCGTACATGGCCCCAGGCGGCGTGTCCATGTATGAGTGGATACCGTCATCGTACTGTACAACAAACAAATACATTAGTTACCCAACTATACAGCAAATAACAAGACTGATGTTGATACACATAGAATGTGTCCATAGTGCATTCTATCATGTGTATAGTGTATACCGCAGCAGCCCAGACACTGAATAGTCAAACAGAATGACACACATGCATTGCACGCGGCTCAATGATCATTGTGGAAAACCGCATAATGTAAAAATATGCCTTCCACCGAGGAGGTCGGTCTACCGGAAAATGCACAAAACGTAGAAAATTGGCTCTCACATGAAATATCCCGGATCGGCGAGCAGCGAGCACCATTTATATATTGAAACACTGGCGATCTATAATCCGGCGGTTTTGACAATGTTTTTGCACGGACTGCGTTGATAGGTTCACAATCAATGTTGAAGTTGCGTTGAGGGGTGAGGAGAGGGGAGGGGAGGCAAGCCTCTATAGCAACCTGTGGCCCACTCTAATTTGTCATATGCATATCGATTGATACAGGCCATACCGATACACTCGCAACACACGCCGTAAATAACATTTAGAGCGACAGTGCTGTGCTGCGGCTCACCGAACTGTGCGCTGTGTGGCTGTTGTAACGCATCACAGACATCGTGAAAACTGCTGACAAACGGCTAAAATGCACAATACATCTCGGGTGTATCAGTCAAAACCATTATGTTACATAACCGGCTAAGATAGGGACGCAACTAAACGTATTTAAACCCCAAAATGAGTGAAGAATGAGCGTGAGCGTAGAATGGAGCGAGAAGTTTTGTTTCGCTCGACCAAAGCGGCCACTCGGTTAAAGTAACTGTGTACAGGACATTACTTTCCACTTACTCATACTTATTTCTTAATAAACAATGTATTGTGCCAACTCAAGTTGTAGATCCAAATGACCAAGTAGGATATATTTATTTTGTATGCAAAACTACAAATCACACAAATAAAGCGAGTGTTAAAACTTGATAAATAAAGATTGAAATAGTTAAATAAAATTCCAAGGAAGATGAGAGTTACGTCGTTAATCATATTATGTCAGGGGACCCAAATTATTCATATTAATAACATTTAAGAATAATAAAATATTATTATGTTCATTGGTTAAAAGTAGGTATCAAACTTACAACTCCAACGAGGAACGCGCATGAATAATATTTTGTTCAATGTAAACGCGATTGATTCGTCGCCTAAAATATACTTTACTATCAAAATGATTAAGTCAAATTTGCGGTTCTCGTTTAAAGCCATCAACAAAAAATATAGGCCTATGGCACATCAAAATTAAGCTCAGAGTGTGTAGATTTGACAATTATGAACGAATTCCCTAAGGTACTGCCTCACAGACGATTTCCAAAGGTCTACGCCTTACTATGCTTTTGAACTTTGCATTATCTAATTGTTATCAACAGCTGGTCGATGCAGTTAATGACTGCTTGTTTATTTACAATAATTGTGGAAATGTGTGAGTTATTTTGTAAAATGCTTATGTTTAGTTATAGAAAAGTAGTAAAATTATGTACAATTTTTCATAGTTTGCTTTGTAATTTATACTGTATAGTAGGCCTAAGCTACAGGTAAAGAGGCTTGAATAAATTGAAGAATTAGGGCAAACCAATGTTGTTATGTACCTATGAACAATATTCTATACAATACAATATTCTATGAACAATGTTATTGTTGTCGTTGTATACATATATTTATGGATGGGTATAATTGTTGTACAATAATGTATTTGAGCTCTATGTTACAGTCACTTAAGAGAAATTTTATCAAGATAAGAGATTTTATCAAAAAAATAATAAATATTAAGTAATTAAATTCATTGCTACGGCATGTTGCTAATTGGCTTAAATAAAAGCATGGTTTTGAAAGTAAGTAGATCCAAACATTTAAATTAATTTATCATGTTAATTTATTATTTAAATTACTCTTTTCAAACACGCACCAAAGCTATTATGTACTGTACTTGCTTGCCGAGAGAATAGTAACCCCTCATCCAAATAAAAAAAAAAAATAAGAATTTTACTGTACTAGGTGGTGAAATAAGTGTTGTGTTCTAAAGTAAATAATATACGTGTAACTAGTAACTACTGTATTTCATACTCGGATCTATATAGCGGCATTATTTTCTTTCGCGCCCTCCTCCCGTTGCGGAGCACGATTATAGCAATTAGTTAATAAAAGGGAAAACAATACATAACCTAACATTATGATATTGCCACTATAAAACTGAGTTGTATCTATTACTAACTTTCCTAACTGTAAATATAACGAAGCCATCGACAAGTAAGATTCTAGACGGAATTATAAACCGTTGTGTTGGTCGCTCCTGAATGGAAGTACAGTATTGTTGTTTAGTTTACATGCAGTAGCGCTACTACAGTAGTAAACACTTGTTGTTGTCAAATGTGTATAAAATGTAGATCGGAGAGGGCGCGTTGTTTGATTCTGTCAGAGACGACAGATAACCAGCATTTGTTATCGGCTACGCTGCACAACGCTATCACTGTACGGTACGTAGCTTCACCGCGTAATGTGGCATTGTATCGTATTGCAACGTTCAGGTAAAATGTAAACAGGTAATTGTTGTGCTTATGCAAAGGCTCAAGATAGTTTAAAATAAATATTAGCTGCATACTGAATTATTTACATAAATATTAAGCATTGCATAAAAAAGTTTTTGAAATTGGTTAATTCATTTGTTTGCCTATATTCTATTGCCCCAGTCAGCGCTATATAAACAGCATAAAGAGATTGTGTGATTAAGTTGGTGAAACTTTAGTTTATATACTTTAGTGTACATATAAGTGATACTTGTATTCCAACTACTTAGAAATAAGAGTATAATTACAAATGAGTTTCTTAACAAGAGCCAAAAACAGTAGAACAAAAATACTTTTGTCCCGGGCGTTATTTTAAGTGTTTAGAAAAAATATGTACTTAATTATCTACACCCATTACATTAAAGCTACATTCAGTGAGCAGAGTACAGAGGTACTCTCTGGCGTTTAACTACATAAATACAAATTTTCGGTCGCAGCGTGATAAAAGTATTACAGCTGATTTTATAATAAAAACATTATGGAGACGGTTTTTGTGTGTAGCTTATTTTCGCTGGTAAAATATCCGTCAATCCGTAGTAGTACTGTTGGTACTACAATAATATAAGTGCCAATTGAGTTATGTAGCCTATCATTTCACAAAATTAACAAGTCATACTATAAACTCTAAAATAGTAAAGGGGATGATCTTGTACACTGTTCAACAAATAAAAGCAAACCTCAAGCAAGATTTTGGCTATAAGCAATATTAGCAATAACTTGTTTATTGTTATAGGCAAAATGTATAAATTAATAAAGACAATTAGGCATATATTTAGTTCATTTTACGACTTATTATTAACATTAACAGTAAAAAAAGAAAACTCTCAACACTATTTGGTATATAGTTCTACGAATAAAGAATTCTTTTCAAACCTTAAAAAGATATACAGTACTACTATATATAATATGATGGTACTACTATTGTCACTATAAACACGTGTTAACAGCAAAGAGATCATACTAAAAACATAAAATATTACCTTTAAACAACTTAAAGAAAAATTATCGGAATTCACTATTTGGTACATTGTTCTACGAATAAAGACTCCTTTTCTAACCTTAATCAATATGATGGTACTACTATCGTCACTAGGAACACAAGTTAACGGCAAAGAGATCATACTAACGTAAAATATTACCTTTAAACAACTTAAAGAAAAATTAACGGAATTCACTATTTGGTACATTGTTCTATGAATAAAGAATCTTTTTCAAACCTTAATCAATATGATGGTAATATTGTCGCTAGAAACACAAGTTAACGGCAAAGAGATCATACTAACGTAAAATATTACCTTTAAACAACTTAAAGAAAAATTATCGGAATTCACTATTTGGTACATTGTTCTATGAATAAAGAATCTTTTTCAAACCTTAATCAATATGATGGTAATATTGTCGCTAGAAACACAAGTTAACGGCAAAGAGATCATACTAACGTAAAATATTTCCTTTTAACAACCCAAAGAAAAATTATCGGAATTCACTATTTGGTACATTGTTCTATGAATAAAGAATCTTTTTCAAACCTTAATCAATATGATGGTAATATTGTCGCTAGAAACACAAGTTAACGGCAAAGAGATCATACTAACGTAAAACATTTCCTTTTAACAACCAAAAGAAAAATTATCGGAATTCACTATTTGGTACATTGTTCTACGAATAAAGAATCTTTTTCAAACCTTAATCAATATGATGGTAATATTGTCACTAGAAACACAAGTTGACGGCAAAGAGATCATACTGACATCAAATTAAACAATCCAACGAATTTTTTTTCGGAATTAGTACAGCAAAACACATTTAATGGTTTCATTACATACAGAGATCCAATTTGTTATCACATTGCTATTGTCGTCAACATATCAGATATGTTGTGACGTGTTGGAAGCTGAGCTGCCAGATACGAGGTCGGGGTATCTTTTGTTTTTGGACTTCTCGGAGCACAAAAGACTGGGACAACGCACGACCGTAAACTGTATTCCGGAAAGCGTCCGCTTTGTGGGCCACAGTTACAGTTGGACAAAAAGTTGTGAGGGAATGTAATGGGACATGATTTACGGCCCAAGTGACTCAAAGAAGGGTCTTTCAGGTAGTCTGGGGACTGGGTCCCTCGCTTCGCCAGACCTCACCACAGTGGCATTGCTAGAGCTCTGCATACGACAATAATTGGCAAAATGGTCATTCGTGCTTCAGTCGGAAAAGTCGTTGGGTTTATTTATTAATGTATATATTATAAACCGCTGTAAATACAATTAAAACAAGTTCATAACGCAATCGGTTGTTTTGTAACATATGTTAAATCAAGTAGTTCACAACGCAATCAGCTGTTTTATAACACATGTTAAACCAAGTTAAATCATGTTCAAAATGTAATCAGCTGTTTTATAACACAT